GAGGAAGGTTCACACACAGGCAATTTTGAATTTTGATTTTGAATTTGAAGGTTAGGTTATTGACAATTCGACAGTTTCGTGTCATTATTGTAAATTTTGTGTTCTTAAACCCTTCTTTATTATATTTTGAAATAAATACACTCATAACTTCAATGTTAATTTGTATGTTTAGTGTTGACGATAACAAACGAAAATAAATACAATAATAAGTAAATAAATAAATAATAATAATTATTAATTTAAATTTACCATCAAAATATCTAGTGATATTTTCTGGTGATTTTTCCTAGTGTAAATTTGACTTTCACGTTTACTCCTCCTGGTTTAAAAACAGAGTATAGCGGTTTGTGAACTATGTATGGCATTTGTAAGAGCGGAAAACGATGATTTACTGCCAGCTCTCGTGGCGTCTACTATAATTCAGTCTTTAACATAAAACAGGTGCTTTCTTCCTCTTTCTCTTCGGTTCAAAATCAAAGATTCTTTCGCGATATTCAATACATTCATGGGGATCTGGTTGGTGTTCCCTCATAAAATCATCACTTTCTGATGTTTTTGATGTTGTTGATGATGACGCAGACGAAGACAATTGCATTTTGATTAATTTTAATTTCTTTCGGATTATTTTCAATGTTTTGGATTACTTGAGGTTCTGAATCAACACTTCTTTTTTCTTGATTTTCATTTTTATCTTCATTTATAACTTCATTTTTACCTTCATTTCATTCCTCTAAATTTCCATCTCCATCATTTTTAACATCATCATTTTTCTTATCTTTAAACACCTTGTCTATTGGAAATAAATGTGGCATGATTTAAGTCAATGGTATTTGAATTATTTGTAATTATTCGCCCCGTAGCTTTCCTTTTTTCAATTTCAGTTCTCAACTTTGATTTAGCCATTTCGTTATCTATTTCTTTTCTGGGAATATTTTCTAATACAGTTATTAATGTTTCGACAGATTTAGGCATACCCAATAATAAGTTACACACATTGTCGTTTTCATTTATCTCTGCTCCAATATTTTTCAATTGTCGTACAATATCTTCAAGTTCACTTAAAAATACATCCAAATCTTCACCTTCTCCCAACTTCATACTCATCAGCTTCCTTCTTAACATTAATTTTCCTGGTATTCCTTTCTTTTCATATCTTTCTTCTAAATTTTCCACATACTATATGCTGTATCCTTTTCTCTTATCAAATCAATTTGTGAATCACACAAACATTGTATTATTAGGTATTTACAATTATTATCCATTTCTTTCTTCTGTGTTTCTCCATAATCCTTAGTGATAGTAATGCAGTTATTAGAAATATAAATTATATTAGTTAGCCTTGTTAAAATAATATTAATATAGTCATGGAAACATAAAATAAATAAAAAGTCTTGTAACTAAAATTGTAACACGAAAATATTTTCTCAGTTTACTTCAAATAAAACATCAGAAATTATATAGATTTTATTGTTGGTCTCTTGGTCTACGTCGTTTTACATCTTTACATCATTTTCTTGCACTCCCAAGAAAGAATTTTTTTCTAAAAATCATTATGAATCTGCTGGCGTTGATTTTCAGTTGACCAGTTTGTTTTTAGTAGACAAATATAATTCACCTCTTCTTTGTCTCCTAACTTTTCGTTTCGTTTTTTCGTTTTTTACACTTTAATTTATATTTTGTGGTTAAATCACCTTCTATATCTGAGTTAGAAGAGGAATATTATCATCATTAGTTTCCAGGATTATCAGTCTGATTATCAGAGGAAAAGGATTAGAAGAAAGAAATAAATTTTTGACTTAATATGTCAATAACTTCTCAATTATTTTTCAAAGCACAGTACCAGCCCCAGGGATCTTTGAAACTTGGGACTGATGTATGTCGAAATCTCACCGTAGGATGATGGCATTAGCGTCTATACTGAAATAAAGTCCCTAAATTATCAAAGTACCGCGGTTTGTGTATTATTATAAATATTCGAGCCAAAATGGCGGTTTGACAGCTTGTCAGTGCATGTTACCACTTATTTACAAAGATAATGCCGTCTTGTTGCCTTTGGAGTTGCAAAAATAGCAGTAAGATGGGCTTTCAACTTTTCGAAGTACCACGAGAAAAAAGAAGAAAGGAAATTTGGCGTAATTTTATCAACAGAACGATGTAATTTTAAATTTCCCGCTTGACTTTCGATCCAAAATGGCGGCAAACCGCGGTACTTTGATAATCTAGGGACTTTATACTGAAATAATTTAATTAAACTAACAATTTTATTATTAATAGTGGGAATGATGAGAGACAGCAATAACAATTATTACCACTATCATTCTTTTAATTTAAAAAGTATAAATTCCAATTCGTTATATTTTTAAATTTGCCGCTAACTTCAACTTTTAAAAATTTATAAGTTGAAGTTTGTTCAGAATGACAGATGAAAACGTCATTTTAAAGTGATTTTTCGGTAAGAGAATAATAAACTAATAATGGTATGATTAAATAATTAGATTATAATTGACATTATAGCTTCGTTTCAGCTAACGTTACAACTGGTTGGAAGCTCGTCAGATGCAATCTCACATGCCATATGATGCAGTGATATTCAAATGTGGTGGCATTATTTGACAAGTGTAATTGCATCTGAGGAATTGCCCAACCAGTCGGAAGCAGTCAGAACGTTAATTGGAGCCACTACGTGGCTCCAAACAGTTATTCTGTGGTTGGAACTTTTATATATAAACCCAATCCAACCTGTATTCTAGTGGTTCGGTTCTTAGCTGAATAAAATTCGAAAGTATCCCCAACAGATGGCGCCACATGCGGTTAATTTTTAGTACGAACTTTTTGTTTAGAGGATTGTATTTCTACGAAGCAATTTACTGGATTTTAGAGCATTTTTATGGACTTACACCCTTATAACTCTCAGGTACAGAATTACTTACTTACTTAGAATTACTTACCAGGAATATTAGTCGCATGTCGATGAGTTGTATCAACACCAACAACTCTTGGATCATATTTAAAAAAAGGAACAGGATAATCCCCTTCTTCAACACTTTTGGGTGAAAGGACCGGTTTTAAGGGTAATTTAGAACGAATTTGTAGCAAGGGGTTTCCGATATATTGAATAGCACGATTCGTTGGATCATTTTCTTTGTGTTTTTGAAATTCTTGACCTTTACGATACCGCTTTACATTTTCAGGGGGAGCCATCCCCCCTGCGAACCAAAATGATTCAATTCTAGGCTCAAAATCAACCTAAAAATTTCTTTTTTAAATCAATAATTTAATAAAATATAACCACATTATTTATTACCTGAATTTCTTTTAAATATTCTTTATGTTTCGATAAAGAATTCATAAAAACACGATTTAAACCTTTAACCACATTAAAAACAAATTTTTCCTTTCCATTTAAATACGATTCAGTTAAAATAACCTCCTCGACACCACTTTTAACCTCGTTAAACACCTTCTCATCAATTTCATTATAAAACTGAGGCAACTTTTCGTTTAGTACTAAATGAGTACGCGTTATATGTTGTGTCAAATCCAATTGATCGTAAGGAATTAAATTCTCGTTAAACATGTAACACTTAAATCCGTAGTATTTCGGCATGTTTAATTTTATTTGTTTCTCCTCGACCGTTTTAACACTTTGCAGTTCGTTGTAGACGCTTTGCTTTTTTCTATCAAGTTTCGCATCGTAAGACACGTCGAGAATTTCGGGGTATTGAGGCGTTTTTGTGTATTCATCTTCGAGGGTTAATGTCGAGTATTTTTTTGAGGTTAGGATTCTTTTTATTAATAAATTGCCGTTTAAACGGGTTAAAGACATTATTTAACTGTTAAAAAGTGGGAAATTATTAATTTTTTTTGTGATTAATTTAGTACGTACCAAGTTTTTAATTAATTTTTTATAATTAAATTAATCCGGTTATTTCGGATTTTGAGGTTAACACATCGTTTCACGAAAACTACTTTATCGGCTTAATTTTGATTCGTTTTAATTTTAATTTAATTAATTAAAAATAACTTATCCAAGATTTATTCGCACTAAATTAGAAGCATTAAGAAGCACAAAATCACCTCTAAATTGAAATTCCGTTTATTTCGGAATTTGAGGTTAATACAATTTTGATTTGTTTTAAGCTTAATTTTAATTTAATTAATTAAAAATAACTGACCCATGATTTATTTGCACCAAATTAGAGAAGCACCAAAAATCACCTCTAAATTGAAGTTCTTAATTACAGGAAGTGACGTCGAATATTTTTTTGAGGTTAGGATTTTTTTATTAATAAATTGCCGTTTAAACGGGTTAAACACATTATTTAACTGTTAAAAAGTGGGAAATTATTAATTCTTTTTGTGATTAATTTAGTACGTACCAAATTTTTAATTATTTTTTTTATAATTAATTTAATCCGGTTATTTCGGATTTTGAGGTTAACACATCGTTTCACGAAAACTACTTATCGGCTTAATTTTGATTCGTTTTAATTTTAATTTAATTAATTAAAACTAATTTATCCAAGATTTATTTTCACTAAATTAGAAGCATTAAGAAGCACAAAATCACCTCTAAATTGAAATTCCGTTTATTTCGGAATTTGAGGTTAATACATCGTTTTAGAGGAGGCTTAAAATCAATTTTGATTTGTTTTAAGCTTAATTTTAATTTAATTAATTAAAAATAACTCACCCGGGATTTATTTGCACCAAATTAGAGAAGAATCACCTCTAAATTGAAGTTCTTAATTACAGTGAGTGATATTACCGATATGTCAAATGTCAAATTTGAAATAGGTTAAATGATTTAAAGTGGTTTTTGGAGGGTTAAGATGTAATAAAAGTCAATTTTTCGATTCACATCATATATATTATATCAATAATATATAACAGTTAAAAATTAAAATAAATAGGTTATAAGCCGTCTTGTTTTTAATTAATTTTTTCCTAAGTCGTACTTTGAAATACATGTTTCATATAAAGGCACTGTTCTCTTTCTCCCCTTGCTAACTGTCTCTCGAGATAAACAAGTTCGTACAATAATAATAATAATTAACATTTTTGAATATTTCGCTTTGTTTCCGCTTCTTTGATTCGTTTTTAAATATAAATATATTTACAAATAGTGGATTATCTTAGGAAGTAACATGATGGTGGTTTTAAGGCTGTTTTATGGGTTTTAACTTTAATTTCTTAGGAAAGAGAATTTTTTCTTTTTATGACTAGGAGTAGAAAATAATTATATAAAGTAAAATTATAAGATCGTTAGATAATCAATTAATTATCTGTACATAATTTTATTTTGAGGTTATCGATTAAAAAAAACGTAAAAAGAATAATTTACAAAGTCACGATAATTATTAATCATTCATAATTGAGACATAAAAAAATAAAATGTGTTTTCCTTGAAAATTCGTCGACAAATTCTTTATTTTGTTTAGAAAAAAAATGCAATTCCATTCTTAATTATTCCTTTTTTATAAGTACACCCTATTTTATGTAAAAACAAATATATTTTTTATTAAATTGAGGTAAATGAATAAATTAATTAAGTAAAATCTAACAACATACACAAGACTGCTCATATTTTAATCTTCTTTAACGTACATATATTATAAAAAAAATGATTTCGCGAATATGGTCCCTATGCAACTATTAATTTTTTTTAACTTTTCCTCATTCTCTTTTCTTTATACAATTAAATAACGTCTCGAAAAATCTAAGCTTTTCATTTTAGTACTTCTTCCTTACATTTTTTGTTTATAATAAAAAGTTCTCGCCCAAAAATTTGTATGTTGCAATCATTTCAGTTTAATTATTTTAATAATATTGACTAGAATTGGTTAATTTACATTAAAAAAAAAACAGCAAAAAAGAGAAACTTGCAAAAAAAATTAAAATCAAAAAAAAATTTTTGGATTTGAGATTCTTTTTTTATCCAAATTTCGTTCCAATTTTATTTTAATTTACAAAATCTTCCTACTTCTTTTCTAACAAAGAGAAATATTTTCTTTTCTAATTTAAACCAAAACAATAATAATTTGTTAAACCAAGTCCTCATTTCATTCTCACATTTTATACACACTTTTCTTCTCTATTTACTTTAAATCTGTATCCTCCGCAATTTGTGGACGGACGAAAATGTTCCCGTAAAGTTTTATAAAAACCATAACGTTTGGGGAAAATCGCAAGTCGGGTTGTTTTCTTCTTGGTGGTCACCTGCAGGGCGCCAAAAGTATTTCAATCCAACACGGACACGACGAAATCTCCATCCGCGAATAATTCAACCCCCAACCTTTTCCGAAACTAATCGTAATCGAATTCCGATCGATAGGCCCATCCATTGTGTCCATGGAATTATTCGCGAAATCGACCATTCTCGACGCTCTGTCCACGTCGAACACGCACAGACACTGCTGGTCGGGGACTCGAATCGGCGATGAAGATTTCTCATCTCTCAACGTTATCGAATTCACGAAAATTGGGACACTTGAACGATTATAAACCCATATTCCTGTTGGTTCCCTTGAAACTGTTATTCCTAAAATCAAAAATTATTAAATTAATTAAGTTATAATAATAAATAAATAATAAAGAAAAGCTCGGAAAACAATAGATCTTTGAGGTTGCGGTACAAAATTGGTTGAGCCGATATACAGATTGTTTTAAAACAACGTTTAAACTTTGAAAAAATTCAAGAATCATCATTTGACTTAAAAATCGAGGTCAAAAATTAATTAGCTATAATTATAAAACTTCTATTATATGATAACTAACTTCAGGTTTAAAATGTCAACCTCATTTTTGACATATTTGTAATCGTCGTGAAAAATCTTTTAAAATGAGCCCAAACATGACACGTTTAATTCCAATATTTCTCGAGATATAAGCAATTTCCGGTTTGAAATGTCAATGTCATTTTGACATATTTGTAATCTTCATTAAAAATCCTTTAAAATGAGTACCAACACGACATATTTATCTTCAGTATTAATGAAGTTATGGCCAACTTCCAGTTAAAAATGTCAACGTCAATTTTGACATATTTGTAATCGTCGTGAAAAATCCTTTAAAATGAGTACAAACATGATACGTTTAATTCCAATATTTCTCGAGATATAAGCAACTTCCGGTTTGAAATGTCAATGTCATTTTGACATATTCTTAATTTTTATAAAATGTCTTAATATTTGTCACAAAAACAAAAATGTAATAAAAAAAAAGTAAAAATTAAGGTTGGTATTAATATTTAAAAATTAAATTGCTATCTTCATTGTTGCTAACTTCGTATTTAATGTTTTTTATTCTAACTTTTTTGTTTTTTGAGATAAGTACGTCTTGTTTGGACTCATTTTAAAGGGTTTTAAATGAAGATGACAAATATGTCAAAATTGACGTTGACGTTTCAAACCGGAAGTGATTATATTTCCATTAATATTAATGTTAAATATATCGAGTTTGGACTCATTTTAAAGGGTTTTTTATAAAGTTGACAAATATAATAATAAAATTAAAGTTGACATTTTTTTCTTTAGCATATTTTTCGACAAGCATTTCACCCAGGTCCATCAAAAAATGTAGCCGATGTTTTCTACCACCATGCCTGTGTTGTATTCTACAACTGCTATAGGCTTTTTTACAGTATGTCCTCCTTTCAAAATTACATCTTGAGTGCCGTTGTCGTGGAAGGAGCTTACCATTATCATATCTTTTTTGTCTTTCCATTTCAACATCAACTGCTTCTTTCTAAACTGTGCAATTTTATGTTCACCCCTTGCTACTTTTGTGTTTTTAACTTCTGGTATTCCTCTCCTGTATTTGATCGGATAGTTCCTACCCAGTTAGTCTAACATTTCGCTAGTTTATCACTGAGATCAATATTTGAGTAATAATTATCTAAAAATAAACAGTAGTCATTTCCCAGGAGTGAATGTGTAAGTTCCAAAACCAGGATAGTTTTGGAACTTACACAGATACACAGAAGATATATACGTATTTTCACCAATGTGTATAATGAAATGTGGTCGAGGAAGACCAGAGTCGCTCCAAGGAATGTCAACAAAAGAATCTACATTTTTATTTTCACTTTCAAAATCGTGATCTGAAGAATCATCAGAAGCAGCGCTGTAACTTTCGCTGTAATCACACAAATTTATATCTAATTTTTTTTGCCATGTCTAAATAATAAGAACAAATAATAATTTCAATTAAAAATTATTACAGTTTAATTACTTTTTCTGTATTGTCAATTTTTAATTCTTGTACTGTCAACAAGTGGTATGGATACAATTGCTGCTCGCCAAGCCATACTTTTTGATATTCCGAAATGTCCCAACGATTGTTATCAACAGTATCATCAATTTGCCTACTAAAAGCAATTAACTGTATTCAAGATATATGTAATATAATAAGATATATGTGTGATATATGCAGCGTTTTGATATTCTCAGTCTCTCGTTTAATTTCCTTGCAATTTTTAAGGATTACCCTGAAGAAGCTTTAAAATAAAAGCGAAATATTGGTAAACTATATAAATTGCCTATATAATTTGCTCCATGGATCCTATCCTGGAATAGTTTTATCTTATTGTTGTTAACGGGATTGAACAAAATCTCCTCTCCGAGTTTTAATCAACATGTTATTATGAATGGTGAATATGCTCTTCCAACATCCAACGTAGATTTTCTGTCGCCCTGTATTATCAATAAAATTAACATTGTCGTCCTGACTTCCAATTATTTCCCCGCAGAAGTAATTCGTCTTCTAGTAATTCCTGCACCAAGTGTGGTTTATAAGGTTGGTACTTAGCCGCTCGCGACGTAGTTGAAACGGTTCCTAATGTAACTTCAAAGTCTATAGCTGTAATTCTTCAGCTGCTAAGAGGATGTTTAGTATCTTCCCAAATGTTATCTGGGCGCCCTTTTGGTAAATCCCTGAGGTGGCCAAACTCTCTAAATTTCTTTTCAATCTTACTCACAGTAGATTGGGCAATTGGCGGACGATTGAGATATCTTGCATTAAATAAATTAACAACTTCTTGCTCTCTATAGCTTGCTGCGACTAATTTCTTTTTATGGCGTTATCTTAAAAACTATTCATAATAAGTCTAAAGTAAGTCCAAATATGTACTATCACTTCGCACTGTATACAGGGTGTGTCAAATGTCTGGAATACAGCCAACAACTTCGCCATTTCTGGTTTTAAAGAAAAATGTTTCAAATACAAGTTTCTTTATTAATCATGTTTCGTTGCTATGGCAACCAACATTGTTATTTTAAATGGGATGTATATGTTTTTTTTGCATACTTTGATAGAGGATAACTCCCTCTATGCGATGAAGATATCAGCACAAATTACAATTAAAGTAGGCATCGAAATAACGCCGTTGACAGCTTTAAATGTCAAAAAAATGACAGTTTCAACAATTATAAATAACTAGTAATGTATGGGTACGCACATTTAATGTAGTTTCATCATTGGTAGCTGTCTTCGGCCGTTCGCTTTTGGAAGATTTTTAACACTTCCGGTATTAAAGAATTTTTTTAATATTTTAGATACTATGGATTGTGTATCCGGGTATATAATATTATTGAACAGTGTACAGGGTGGTTCAAATTCTATGTCCGAATAGGCTATCTCGGAAACTATAAGAGTTATAACAAAAAGTAGCTTACATGTCATGATCAATTTTTTGACATTTAAAGCTGTCAACGGTAATCTGCTATTTAATATTTTTAGAGAACGCATTTTTTCTAGATTTTTTTCTTATACAACCATATGATTTGAAATGTTCATCGCGTAGAGAGATTTATCCTCTATCAAAATATGCAAAAAAAAACATATGCATCCCATTTAAAATAACAATGTTGGTTGCCATAGCAACGAAACAAAAAATAATGTAAACAAGCAAATATAGCCGTAAAATGCGCCACAATTAATAAAGAATATTTTATTTGAAAAATTTTTGTTTAAATCCACAAATGGCGAAGTTATTGGCTATATTCCAGACATTTGACACACCCTGTATATTATACTGGAGAAATATTGTAAATTATAAACAATAAAAGGTTTATTATTACTGTATCGATTTTCCATGTATCAAATCTGTAGTAGTTATAGTTTAAAAGAAAATATTAACGAAAACGATTGATTTGCGGAGCCTTGTTCATTAACACTTTTCCACTGTCGTACTACCCCTATAAAGATTTACGCGTTGTTTTAAAACACCCTGTACAAATTTATATAATGTAATAAATATAAGTAATAATAAAAAAATATTAACCTAATCCAATTTTTTGCCGCGCCTTCACCATGTCAGCGTCGGTATTATCCCTGGACAGTTCTTTGATTGATATTCCATCACCGTAGGGAACGTCCCAAAAGATATTAACGTAGGGCAACTCAACAGGAAATAAACGACCAACCCGTTTCCGCCTCTCCCAATAAGCCAGTTGACACCAATAATTTCGACTACTGGAATCTGAAATGATGAAAAAAAAATAATTAATGATTTAGATTTGAGATGTAAGTATCGGTTTACCCAGTGTAAACCAGGCTTCGATATATTATATCGTAAAGCCGAAGTAGTGTGTAACGTGTCCGCGAGAGGTCGTTGGCTCCGAGTTAGTTATAGTTATAGCGACGCGTTGTTATCACTTTTTAATCGAACCGATTTAAACGAAACTAATTTTTAATTAACCGTTTAATAGAAAAAAATTAATTCGAAAACGATTTTTTTTAATTAAAATTAAATTAAATAAAGGAATTAATTTTATTCGAAAATAATAAATCGTCTTCCTCCCCCTCCCGGGTGACTTTTGAACTTCACTATCTCGCGAACTATATGTTTTTATTAGCGCCTCTCTTCGTATCAATATCGTGAAAGATGTAAATTGTCCTTCTTAACAATAATTATTTTAAGCGAAAATTGATTCGACACAAATTCGATTCCGCCGGGACTTTTTAGGATGGCGTCAAGTGTGCGTGGAAAACATTTTCCGGGGCAACGCCAGAGCCACCTACCGGAGTCATTCGCAATTCAACCGGAGGCCAAACGGGAATTTTAATTCGTCGGACCCGTTCTAAAAGCGGTTTTACCGGCTCGATCGGACCGAAATCGGTATCTATGAGTTTTTAAATGCGACGCAAAAGCACTTTTTTATAAATTTTTTTTTATCCTTTCGTTTCCTTGTAAATTAGAATTTATAATTGAAGACGAAACACATCAGCTTTATCCATCGTATAAAATTATTAAGTTTTTATTGTTTATATTTCAACACAACACTTATTTAATACCGCCATCTAGTAACATCTATTATTACCAATGATACAAGTATCTCCATGACAACCAGTAGTGCAACAAACCGCAGTACTCGGAATTGTACCTTACAATAAATTTATTGGAGCTGTCAATTCGACGCAGCCAAAAAAACACATCGCTAGAAGCTTCCCCAAGAACTATATACATTGATGGAATATTGAGAGTGGAAGAAAATATCAGGGTATATCACTCTGGATATTCCCCGTGAAGAGAAATTGTCCCAAACAATAAAAAATAACAACCATGCCGACATGTTGGAAGAACTTGCTATGGACGAAGAAGAGGAACTGAACTCTGTTGATGACTCATTAGACAATATCCAGTGTAACAAATTTACTAACAGGCAAAAATACTAAGACTAATAGATATACAGAGCAAAAACTGCATCAAAATGAAATAACTAATCATGCGCGGCTGCGTAGATGAAAACCTACCACTTTTGAAGAAAATAAAAAATGTTGTTAGGTTAGCTAACTTGCAGTTTGAATATTCTGGACAAGATATGGAAGAAAGTAAGATACCTGAAAACGTCTGCATTGAACTTGCAGATAAATTGCTAAATAAATGCCAAACTTTGTTTGTTAACAACTTTTACACGAATTATGACCTAGCAAAGAAATCTTTAAAATGTACGGTACAACAAAAAATTTATGCCACGTTTTGTAATGTCGTAACCATTGAAGAGAGATGAAATGGTAGCACGAGAAGATGACAAAAGTATTGTTGTGAAACCTGGCGATACCGGCATAAAATAATTTAAAGACTGGCAACATTGGCAGAAGCGATCAGTTGATGTCAACTAGGGCTTGCAAAACCGGACCAAAATCTCAATACCGGTATTCGGTATTAGTAATCACTAAATATATGTAATTGTAAGATCTTTTTCCCCTCTGCGACATCACCTCTACTAACAACAGGTTAATTCCTACTATATTTTTAGATTGGCAACAAAGCACAAGATACAGAATCTGAGAAGATAATCAAAAAATGGAAATATATTAGCAATCTGTACAAAGTACCAATAAACTTAAAGGACTGGATACCATTATTGTTTTGTTGTCTTTCACTTGGTCTAAAGGTTCAACTTCACTGCCGCGTCAAAAAAGAAATTACACTTTATCATCTGAAGCTCTGTGGAATTCTTTCGAATTCCTGCTATGGAATTTTCTGGAAAGGTGCAAATTCAAGAAAGAAACTTTAACATAATGACTCTTGGTAGTTTGTCAGACATATCATACTACTTTTATACTTGGTGGGACACTACACGAATCAAACTGACCTGAAACACAATATATGCAGAGTATTTTATTGTTGGCTAGGTATAACAAATTTATTAAACACGAACATTAAGTTGTCATCATCAAAGGTTGAGTCTTCGTTATCTTCAACATTCTGTCAGAGTGCAAAATGATATTTCTTGTAGATGGTATTCATACTGATCAAAAAATGTCACTTGAAAAGATGAGGTTAGTGATAGATAACAAATTTCTGTTTGGTCAACATCATTTTCCAGCACAGCTTTAAACAAATACGGCCGCTTTCGATTGGTCGCCTCCGGCTAGCATTTTTTTAATGAAACGTCAAAAAATGGCACTTGAAAATGTAAACTTAGAACGGACAGAAGATAGATAACAAACAAGAATTCTCTACGTCATTTTCCAGCACAACTTCAAACTAGCACGGCCGTTTTCGAAGAGCACTAAATAAAAATAATACCGGTATTTTGCCATCAATACCGGTTTTTAATACCGGACTAAAATTGTCCGGAATCCTGGTATCGCAAGCTCTAATGTCAACCCAACCCAACCCTAAGTATCAAGTGGAATCGGAAAATAGCACTACAAGTATAGTAAATACTAACATCGTGTAACAGGGAGCCACAAATAAAAAAAAATAGGTTGTCCTTAAAAAATGCCAATAAAACAAGGAACGTGTCCCATCATTTACAGATTGGTAAGAATCAGCAAGCCTATAAGAAGGATGTGCACTCTATGTTACCAGAAGAAGAGATAAACTGCCGAACGGCAAGAAGTGAAGAAATATCTATTATTCCAATTGTCCAAAATCACCTCAAATGTGCTTAGAGTGTTTTAATGAACACCATGCGAACTAGAATTATGTAAGGATCCTCACTGAAACATATCCATCATCTAAATATGGGTTTAATGCAGAAAAGAACCAACTTCTCCACACATAATGAAGTATCCTGCGCACTCCAACAGATGAAAATTATCAAAGCCCCGGGTTTTGTGGCATTCATAACGAGTTCCTGATTGATTAAGTGTAGCTGGTTCGCCAGGAAGTGGTTAACTAGATTTTACACTGATATTCTAAAAATTTGGGTATTATTCCAAAAGGATTTAAGAAAACAAAGATTATCTTCATCCTGAAGCCGAGGAAACCAGCGGAGCTGCCTGGTAGCTACCCAATGCTCTACTAAGCAGCTCTACAGAGTATATCTCGGTTAAACAATTAGGTTTTAGGTGGGGACGCAGCTGCGTGTATCTGAATCTCAGCTTTACAACTTGTATCGAGGTTGGCTTTCAGAACCGAGAGAAGACATTTGCCGTCTTTGTGGATCTAAAAGATCAACATATATTGTCAATATGACCAATAAATATTGACAAACTGTAATTACCTCAGACTATTAATATTTATTGAGAATCTACTTAGTTTTGCGTTGGCAGTCAAAGATGCCATGTCATATTTGCATGTGTTAATGAACAATTAGGGGAGTTAATAGCACTTTCGTCCATTAAAGTATATTTGTCTGAATTCATTATTACATGATATAATCAATAATATAATCCTACTAACGTAGGATTGTCAATATCTCCCTCAGACTGTCAATATTTATTATCAATATATCAAATATTTTCGTTTTCGTCAAACCATCCTATCAATATTTTTAATATTGACAATGTGTCAACGTTCAACGCACACGTTCAATAATATTGTGAATACTCAGATATTGACAATATATTTATATTGATCGTTTTATGGACTTTTTAGACTTGATAAGACACTGAGTTTGCTGCTGAATAACATGCTCGGTGCACTCATGAGGATTTAATCTAGAAATCTAGACAACCTGCAATAATGACACATAGAAACATAGAGCGGATCTGGTGACTGACATCAACCTCGAAGTGAGCCGTGACTTGAACATATACAGCAAGCTATTTTGTGGAAAATTTATGCTTTGTACTCATACTGTCATTATTATATGTAGCCATACGATAAATAAATAAATATATGTTGCAACCAATCCCTTCCTTTCTTCCTTAGCATACAGAAGCGGTGCGCCATTAATGTGATCAAGTGCATAAATTTATAACATTAGCTGCAGTTTAGAGATAATCACGAGATTTCAATTTTGAGACCCGATTGTTGTTGGACTCCGAGAGGTGTCTTTTTACGTGATTGAGCAATAAATCGCTGGATGTAGAAGTAGTCTAGATACTTAACGAGGTTGATGTTGTTCCAGAACACAAAACTGTCGGTTATAATGCGAAAATCTAAGCTTAACTTAGGATATGCAAGTCTTTGTAGTTAATTGTTTTGTAAGCCAACATAAATGCGAGTTAGGTTTTAGGGTGAGAGAAGAGTTTTATATATGATGAATGATGATGAACAATGAATGAGCTTTTTGGTGTAATTGTGATGTACAAGAAGAATTATGGGGAACACTTTTAAAACTTTCAAGCATACTCAGGTTATGTGCTATGATTTATGACTACCCAAAATGAACATGTTTGGACTTTAAGAGACAATAGATGAAAGTTTCATCTAGTTTTAGCATACATAGCCAAAGATGGGATAGAAATTGATAGGATAAAAGTGTGTTGCAAGAGTAGAGATATAAAATATAAAGAAAAATAAAAAAATCTAAAATTGGCAAACAATCATTTTTGCCGACTTCGCCATCATCATTTTGAATCTAAAAAGCACCAGAGTCTTGATTGAATGAAGCTTGTTGTGGTGCTTCCATTTTAATCTTATTTCTTTCTATGAACCTTATCGTCAACATATATGGAAGTAGTTGATCCCATTAATATATCTTTAATAACTGTCAATATATCAGAAATTATGTCTGTTATTTTTCAATGGGGTGTTAATGAACGCAGTGTATGAGACAGAAAAAAAATCACATCTATTAAAAAATATTAGTACTAAAGATTCTTATTTCAAAGAATATTGCAAAGAAATAAACTATCAGATCAAAAATTGGTAAACAATCATTTTTGTCGACTTCGCCATTATCATTTTGAATCTAAAAAGCACGGAGTCATTTCTTGATTGAATGAAGCTTGTTGTGGTGCTTCCATTTTATTCTATGAACCTTATCATCAACATATATAGTTGCATTAATAACTCTCAATATATCAGAAATTATCTGTGTTATTTTTCAATGGGGTATTAATGGACGCTGTGTATGTGAAAGAAAAAGAATCACATCATCTGATTTCCTTAAGCATTAACACCACTAATATGCCAAGTTATATATATATAAGTTGAAATATCTCTTCATAAATATGCATTTCAAAGTGTTTGCTCAAACAAGATGTCTGTTATCCAAGATACTCATCAACTCATTTTATCTTTCCTCTGTTATAGCAGTTAAGATGAAGTAAAGTGTCAATTCAAACACCACATCACCTCCAAATATCATCATCTTCATAATTGGAGTTAGAGACACTCTGAGAGCAATTTTGACCAATCAAAATTTAGGAATAAAACTTTCTTATAGCTTCAATTATTATCATTCCTTTGTTTATGCTATAATATCTTTAATATTCTTCCAAATTCTCTTGCTAACAACCAGATATACAAAAAATTCGAGTCCTGAAGATGACTTGATTGATATCCTGAAACCGATAGAGTTTAAAATTTGAACTTTAAACAATAAGCTTATTTAATAATTACGAAAGTGATAATTTTAGATGTTTCATTGCGTCTAACATTGTATATGTATCTATGTTGACTTTGAATTTAGGATATTTTTGTCTCATTCGTTGGTTCCAATGAAGGGTATAATTTTTCATAAATTAATATTATTCGGTGCCGTTTTCTAAATAGGCGCCGGCAACGTTCTCGCGAAAATTCAGCTTCGCAGGCGGCGACGGCGGTAGCGGCGTGTGCTGCGGGTAACGGGCGGTCGTCGTGCGAGTGACGTAACATCGCCGATACCATAATCCTGGCGCCAGCGGTGAACTTGTAATGGCTATTTTTAAACAAGCCGGTCGACTCTCCGTCTCTTTTCAATGCGCCCGTATAACAATTCCTCACCATTTTTCTTTTCCATTCATTTTCTCTTTTCATTTCCAACTCATTTTCCCCTAATTAAATCAAACTCAAATTTTATTAAGATAATCATAAAGAAAAATTCATCAAATAAATAGGTTGATTGATATAAATTAACGATGAATAATGAATAAAGAGAGTAAGAAGACAAATTATTAGGTTGTGATAAAGTGGAGATGGAGAGAATTTAGCAAAAGCGGTTAAAGGCCGTGGAAGGCCGTAAGAAGGACATGTGACAACGTTGCCTCACCGCTTGGCTTGTACCGGTATCGCGGGACACACCTATATAAAGTAACAAACTCCACTTGTATATATAGATATACGGTAAAGGAACAAACGCCTCGCCTATGTCTCGTTTTCTTTAACACTATTTACCTCGCCTCGATAAAAGACAAGAGAAATCTTGAAAATACCAACAAAAACAAACACACACGTTAAAAGAATTCAATTAAAATTCAAACCCACGTGACCCACATAACTTTATTCTTAAAATATCTCAAAGTATTTGCGAAAGAATATAATTGTTTTTTTTTTTGGTATTTTGTTGTTGTGTTATTGTGCGTGTGCCTTTAATTTTTTACTACAACTAGGTGCGACGACAGTCGGCGTCCTTGTCTACGGTCTTGGCGCCACCGGCCCAGACGTCTGCGTCTCGTTTCGTCGTCGTAGTTGGTATATAAAACGTTAAATAGCAAGCTGAGGAGTACGCGGTGTGGAGGTGCGGTGGCCCGCCGATTTTCGCCAGGCAGGCGGAGCGCTCGCGCGTATCGATCAACGGCGCCACCGACGACGACGGAAACAATGAACCAACAACTCGAACAGGTACACAGGTGAAAAAGTAGGTCTTTATCGTGAAAGAGGACGAAGACAAACAACGCCACACCAACGTTTTATATCTAAAAAATAAAAACAAACTCAGATTCAATCAAATCGGATTCAAAATCAAAATTCCATGAAATTAGGTGTTGATAAAGATTATGTTACACAAATTCTTCTCCAAGAAATTTCTCAAACTTTTCATAATAGTTATTTCTCATTATCGCGTTTCGTTATCATGATGCACACTTAATAGCCCTGGCGCCTCGTTTATCTATTAGACTATTTCTCTGTTGCAAAACACAATGACGACTTTTTTTTACCTGCGGACAATAATCGTCGGTGAGGCGCCACCGACCCAAACTCCAAAAAAAATTTAAACCCGCATCGTGACGCATAACTCGCATAACAACGACTATTCTCCGTATTACCAAGTCACTAAAAAAGAATAAATAATGGGTTATTTTAGCTTAATTCGTCAATTCCGAACGATTTTACATGACGTAAACCGCCAGACGGACGCTGATCTTAGGCGACGGCGGTAACAAACCAAGTCTCCGCCGAGCAATTACAATTTAATTCATTAAAAAATAAAAATAACGAGCATCGTGGCGCCTATAAACATGTTGTAACTTTTTTTTTATTACATCGTTAAAACTATGTTTTAATTAATCGAAAAAACTACTTACTTTCACCGTTCGTAGTCAACGATTCGGCGTAACTGTCCCTGAAAACTAATCTTGAATCGATTTGGGCCCGATCTGAAACAAAGAGCGTATCGTTTAATGATTTGAAATGAGAGAATTTAATTTTTTTAAACACAAGTTTAACACAAAGCGATATGTCATTGAAATGTCAAATTTGACGTTTCAACTAATACGATTTGTTAATAAGAGATGGCGCGTTAAAGAATGTCTTCTTAATTATTATATATTTAAGAACTGTTTGTATTTATATATGTATATATATCAATAAACTACAATAATTATATAACAGAGACAATCGAGGTTATAAATGGTTGGAGTAATAACTTACCACGAAAATGAAGAGAAAAAAGTTTGGTTATGTTTTAATAAAACTTTTCCTGATTAATTTGGAGAGAAATAAACTTTCCTGGAAGCTAAAATGCCCTTAAATGAATAGGTTGCGTATTCAAACACGTATTTTGATGGATTTTTTGGTTCAATTAAACTTATTTTTTGGTAAACTTAGAGATTTTTACGAAGAATGCATCTGGTGAATTGTCAGATGTCAAAAATACGATTTAGTATTGATGATTACCGCTAGATGGGGTGAGTAAATGTTTAAAAAGACTTTATTATTATTAAAAAAAACATTAAAACCTCAACATTACCAAAATATAATGTAATAGAAAAGGTTTAGCGAGAAATATTTATATATGAGAGATAAATTATTAAAAGATAGTAAAATTATTACAATAAAAAAATATTTAAAATTGACAGGATAAAAAGTGAGGTTGCATTTTCTTTACTTGCAAATTTGGGGAGAAAAAGTTCTTTATGGGGCCTAAAATCACCTTAAATAAATAATTTGCGTGTTCAAAAACGTACCTTGATGGGATTTCTGGTGCAATTACACTTATTTTTAGTAAAATTGAACAATTTTAGGAGAAAATGTATCTTGTGAATTGTGAACTGTCAAAAATACGATTTAGTATGGATCGTTACCGCTAGATGGGGTGAGTAAATGTTTAAAAAGACTTTATTATTATTAAAAAACATTAAAACCTCAACATTACAAAAATATAATGTAATAGGAAAGGTTTGGCAAGAAATATTTATGATATGAGAGATAAATTATTAAAAGATAGTAAAATTATTACAATAAAAAAATATTGAAAATTGACAGGATAAAAAGTGAGGTTGCAATTTCTTTACTTGCCAATTTGGAGAGAAAAATGTCTTTATGGGGCCTAAGATCACTTTAAATAAATAATTTGCGTGTTCAAAAACGTACCTTGATGCATTTTCTGGTTCAATTACACTTATTTTTTGTAATATTGAACAATGTTAGGAAAAAATGTATCTGGTCAAATATCAAAAATATGATGGTTACCGCTAGATGGGGTGAGTAACTGTTAAAAAAAACTTTTTAATAATTATTAAAAAACATTAAATCTTCAACATTACAAAAATATAACGTAATAAATCTATTTATACGAACTTAGTGATCACAATACTAAAATAATGAAAGTAAATCTTGAACTTGAAACATAAATACTATCTGGTGAAATGTCAAAAATATGATTTAATATGGGTGGTTACCGCTAGATGGGGTGACTAACTATTTAAAAAGAAGGAATCTTTTTTTAAATTACAAATTAACTGGCTTTAATTATTATTATTAATAATTAAAAAAGGTTTATAATAACGCGAAATAAATTCTAAAAAGATAACGATTTTTTAGATCATATTTCTTAATAAAAACCAAATTTATTCTAATTAACATTAATTTGTTGTTAATTTCCCGATGATTTTTATTTATGTGGCGCCAGGAAATAACAATCTAAAAATAACAGAATCCGTTGGATCCGTTGACCTTGATATTACATTATTTGTAAAATTTTCGGAGAATTTTTTGCATTTTTACGTTTAAACGATTTCTTCGTGTTTACACACTCTCCTCAGCTCGCATTTCGCAGCCGAGATAAGATTACGCGAGAAAAACGGGGCGATAACGACCAGTTTAGTTATTGTAAATTTAGAAAGAGACTCGTCTCGAAAACAACCGCTACTTTTATATAGGAATTATCTCATATAGAGAATGACAACCATTTTGAATTTCTAATTGAATTAAGCAACAAGTTTTTTTTTTCTCTTTTTTTGCTTTTTGTTATTATTTCTTGGCGTAGCATAAACACTTCTTTATCGCTTTTATTTAAAACGTACTAGTACAAAAATTATATATTTATATAATAAAGCAATGCGAAATTGAAATAGAAACATTGTATAAATGTCTTTAATATATTGTGGTTTAAGATTCGTTAATCTCTAGATTAATTTATGATGCACGTGGTGTGTTTTATGAAATATGAAAGAAATTTTAATAAAATCTTGGCAATTTTAGTGGTTATTTGTAACGAGAAGACAATGAGCGATGTCTCAGTTTAAACTTAAACCAAAAAAAAAAAATCAACCCAACCCAAATGATTCTAGTTCTACTATATAATCTAATGTCCTTCAGACGGGGGAGAGAATTTAATTTTTTTAAACACTCCAAATTTTAACACAACGCAATATGTCATTAATGTGTCAAATTTGACGTTTCGTTTTATAATACGATTTATTAATAAGAGATGGCGCTTGCGCGTTAAATAATTCTTTTTAATTAAAAAAGAATTATTTATTAATTTATTAATTTTAGCAAAAAATGTATCTGGTGAATTGTGAAATGTCAAAAATATGATTTAAAAAAGAATTATTTAAAAAGTTCTTTTATTATTGTATATTTCTCATAAAAACGTTTTAGAATGATTATTGAAGTTGTTTTCAACGATTAAGTGATTAATTTATTGTAGTAACAACTTTTTGTATTCATATATATCAATAAACTATAATAATTTACATAACAGCGTCAATCAACTAAATTATTGAGGTAATAACTTACCACGAAAGTGAAGAGAAAAAAGTTAGGTTATATTTCCATAAAAGTTTTCTTGATTAATTTGAAGAGAACAAAACTTTCCTGGAACCTAAAATGCCCTTGAATGAACAGGTTGCTTATTCAAACACGTACTTTGATGGATTTTTTGGTTCAATTACACTTACTTTTTGGTAAACTTAAAGATCTTTAAGAAGAATGCATCTGGTGAATTGTCAGATGTCAAAAATACGATTTAGTATGGATGACTACCGCTAGATGGGGTGAGTAAATGTTTAAAGAGTTTATTATTAAAAGAATATTAAAACCTCAACATTACAATAATATAACGTAATAGAAAACGTTTGGCGAGAATTATTTATGATATGAGAGATAAATTACCAAAAGATATCAAAATTATTATAATAAAAAAAAATTTTAAACTGACAGGATGAAAAGTGAGGTTATACATTATTTACTTGTAAATTTGGGGAGAAAAATTTCTTTATGGGACCTAAAATAACTTTATATAAATAATTTTCGTGGTCAGAAACATACCTTGTTGAATTTTTTAGTTGAATTACACTTATATTTTGTAAAATTAAAGAATTTTAGCAAAAAATGTATCTGGTGAATTGTGAAATGTCAAAAATATGATTTAATATGGTTTGTTACTGCTAGATGGGGTGACGAAATGTTAAAAAAAACTTTTTTATTATTATTAAGAAACATTAAAACCTCAACATTACAAAAATATAACGCAATAATAAAGGTTTGGAGAGAAATATTTATGATATGAGAGATAAATTACCAAAAGATAGTAAAATTATTACAATAAAAAAAATATTTAAAATTGATAGGATAAAAGTGAGGTTATATTTTTTTTACTTGCAAATTTAGGGAGAAATATTTCTTTATGGAGCCTGAGATCACTTTAAATAAATAATTTGCGTGTTCAAAAACGTACTTTGATCAATTTTCTTGTTCAATTACACTTATTTTTTGTAAAATTGAATAATTTTAAGAGAGAATGTATCTTGTGAAATGTGAAATGTCAAAAATACGATTTAGTATAGATGGTTACCGCTAGATGGGGTGAGTAAATGTTTAAAAAAGACTTTTTTATTATTAAAAAACATTAAAACCTCAACATTACAAAAATATAATGTAATAGGAAAGGTTTGGCGAGAAATATTTACGATATGTGAGATAAATTATCAAAAGATAGTAAAATTATTACAATAAAAAAAATATTTAAAATTGATAGGATGAAAAGTGAGGTTATATTTTCTTTACTTGCAAATTTGGGGAGAAAAATTTCTTTATGCGATCTAAAATCACTTTATATAAATAATATGCGTGTTCAAAAACGTACCTTGATGAATTTTCTGGTTTAATTACACTTATTTTTTTTGGAAATTGAACAATTTTAGGAGAAAATGTATCTGGTGAATTGTGAAATGTCAAAAATACGATTTAGTATAGATGGTTACCGCTAGATGGCGTGAGTAACTGCTTAAAAATACTTTATTATTGTTAACAAAACATTAAAACCTCAACATTACAATAATATAACGTAATAGGAAAGGTTTGGCGAGAAATTTTTAAGATATGAGAGATAAATTACCAAAAAATAGTAAAATTATTATAAAAAAAAATATTTAAAATTGACAGGATAAAAAGTGAGGTTATATTGTCTTTACTTGCAAATTTGGGGAGAAAAGTTTACTTTAAATAAATAATTTGCATGTTCAAAAACGAACTTTGGTGAATTTTCTGGTTCAATTACACTTAATTTTTATAAAATTGAATAATTTTAGGAGAAAATGTATCTGGTGAATTGTGAAATGTCAAAAATACGATGTAGTATGGATGGTTAATGCCCAACCCAAATGATTCTAGTTCCACTATGTAATCTAATGTTTGATTTAACTACTTTAACCTTTGAACTACTTTAATAAAAATATACAACAATCTAGCGCTGAATAACAATTAAAACTAGAACTAACACTATACCTAGCACTAGAATCAATTGGGTTTAGCCGTCTTTAGAGACGTACGGCTAAACCCAAATGATTCTAGTTCTAGGTATAGTGTTAGTTCTAAACTAGCACAGTTACTATGTAGAACTAACACTGTTACTATGTAGAACTAACACTGTTACTATGTAGAACTAACACTGTTACTATGTAGAACTAACACTGTTACTATGTAGAACTAACACTATACCTAGAACTAGATTCATTTGGGATTAGCCGCACGTCTCTAAAGACGGCTAAACCCGAATGATTCTAGTTCCAGGTATAGTGTTAGTATTAGTCTAGTTTTATTAGAATAAGTAGGTAAGCGCTGGTTTCTATGAAAATATATTTTTGTATATTGCAACTTAATTAAAATTCACTGTAAACATAACGACGCGCCTTCGAAATTAATTATTAAACTTTAAAAAAAAAAATCGTGTTTCTATTTTTAAATATTACGCGATATTCTAATCTAAAAAAAAATAACACACAACATTCACACACACACACACATAGAAACACCAAACCAGAAGCAGAGATATACAAACGACCGCGGCTGGATAGATTAAATAACTCACCTTCTGGGTTTATGTGGTCCAAACACGAATAAGGTGGCGGAATAGAATCTGAAATAAGAAATAAAAAGATTGGTAATTTTTGTTGTTAAAAGTGGCTTAAAGTAGATGGAGGGAAGAGTATTTACAAGCGCAAGCCGATGTTCAGTTCTGCGAATAAAACGTATATTTAGAACCCGGAGAGTGGCAAGGAAGCCATTCCGACGAACGGCTCCGAGGTTAAAGACTACTAGAGAACCGTTTTTCACCCGGTTTGCCACACACTTAAATACAAACTGTGTTAATTTAAGCGGCGAATTCCTAAGTCAAGAGGAGTTGTGTTCAAAAGACTTTTTGTTTCTTTTAAAACATTTCATTTAATTTCTTTTGAATGGAAATGACTTAAATTTATTAGAATTGAAGAGGAAGGAATACGTTGCGTTAAATGTCGCCAGTTCATCCTCATTATCGTCGTCGAGAGGAGGTTAAGCAGTTAAAATTGGTACGTAGGTAGACGACGCGACCGAGAATTGTGTAGGATAAGCGTTTATTGCAATTTGCAGTTTTCTGTGGATAAAATAAATTGTGGCGTAGACGCAGGATATAGCGTCTAAAAAAAAATTCTGTCATCATCTTAATTCCATCAAAAATTATCCCCTGAAGATGATAAATCGGCGCGAAACCGGTCCATTTCACGTTAAGATTACCGCCACACAACGTACCCAATAATGATCAAAAAATAATGACTGAAGGAGTCGATTCCCATCCGACCCACGAATTTTCGGTAATTATTTTCTGGGAAAGGAGTTCGGGGAGGAGTGGATTGAGGCGCCCCCGACTCCCTCTCGGAAAGACAACTTTTGTTTGCGTGATGATGGGACGAAGGGAGAGGGGAACAAGTTTCGATCGGCGAGGAGTTTTAAAGTAGGGAACGCTGTAGAGAATTCCGACGAGCAGATAGCATAGGCGCCAGGCCTTAATTTTACCCAGTTGCCGGCAAAAGAGAAAGCCAAAGATGCAACAGACGAAGAACTCCGTTTTAAACTCGTTTACCGCGCTGTCGGCGACGCCAACTTATACGATTTCATATTACGCATTATACCAGATTAAAGAAAAAAAAATTCATTAAATTAAAGTTGCGATTTAAAACGTGCGGATTGAAAAGTAAACTATTTGAATAGTTGACGAGCGGCCAACAAAGTGACAGCGAAAAAAATTGATGATCTCAAAACAAAAGCGATATTTGTATTGTAACAAAAGACGACGCGCGTCCGAAAATTCCACGGCACACTCCCGAGACTAATTTTAATCCGACGTAGCGCCGCTATCTTTCGGCGCCGTCTGCCGCGCCACGACGCCGGCGTCCTTCGGAAAAAAACCTTTCATAACCACAAAATTTACATTCAAATTAAAACAAAATACAATTTTGCAAAATAGATTTTGATAAAACTAGAATATTGTATCAAATTAAGATAAACTTAAACGATATCACTTATTAGTTACAGAAATTTGTGAATTTCTGCCTTAGAGATATAAGAAAATTAAAAAATTTCGGATATAACAGCAAAGAACTATATGCAAAGCCTAGAATGTTGATGGAATAAAGAAATTTTGTGTACAGAAGAATATCGTTAATATTTACTGGTAGTTTTAGACATATTTTAGTTGCAAAAGAGTCTTAAAAGACTAAATACTGTTAATGGAAGACTGAACATGGGTTGCAGAAGGCTAAATATTGCTTGCATAAGACTAGATATTGTTTGCAGAACACTAGATATTGATTTCAGAAGACTAAATACTGCTTGTAGAAGACTAGATATTGCTTGCAGAAGACTAGATATTGATTTCAGAAGACTAAATACTGCTTGTAGAAGACTAGATATTGTTTGTAGAAGACTACTATTGGTGCCAAAAGTCAAGGTCTCTCATTTTAGAGATCGATATCTTTGCAACCGCTTGATAAAAAAAATTGTGACAAAGTTGGTTGTAATCACCGAACATTTCTACATAACATATCTTAATTTGAAAAATTTCGGATCAGCGGTTTGCCTTTTATCGCGAGATAAATGAAAAAAGTACCCGATTTTGTACAGTACTGATAACTTTATCCACTTTGCAATTTTTTTTCTGAAAAACTATCTGACGAAAAATTTCAATTTTGAACAGGTGGTAGCCTGATGTGTTTTTAATGAGGGTCATATGTTAGTTTTTCGATAATCTTTTAAACTTTTGGCACCGGTAGTAGATATTGATTAAATACTCTTTATAGAAGACTAAATACTGCTTGTAGAAGACTAGATACTATTTCCAGAGGATCATTTACTGATTGATGACGTAAGATTGCATACTGATGACAAAAGACTAGAAATTGTTACTGGAAGACTAGATATTGCTTCCAGAAGACTAAATATTGCTTGCAGAAAACTAGATATAGCACGTAGAGCAAATCAAAAAAATTTTACAACAACCCAAAATGATTAGTTCCACTTAACCTCACTTGTACGATCTGCCAGACCGGTAAATGGGCAAAATAATAATATATATTGTCCAAAAAGAAAAATAATAATAATTTTATTATCATAACTAAGACTTCTAAGTATGCAGTAAACACGATGACATGATTAAGTATCAATGACAGCAGACCAGAAATTGCTAATGGAAGACTAGATACTGCTTTCAAAAGACTAAATACTGTTTGCAAAAACTAATTATTGCTTGCAGAAGACTAGATAATGCTTACAGAAGAACTAGATACTGCTTGTACAACAACCCAAGATGATTGGTTCCACTCAACCTTACTTCTAAGGTCTGCCAAAGATTGGTAAATTTTCCAAAAATTTATTATCAAAACTAAGACTTCTAAATATTCAGTAAACACGACGAATAAGAAAGGAAATGTCTCCCTTTCACCTTTTTAAAAGATGAATTGGGTTGGGAAGATTAATCTTGTCAAGTTGGTAAGAATTTAGCAGAAATAAGAACTGTTATCCAACAATAGGTTCGTGGTGAAATAAATATAACAAAGTAAAATTTGTGTTAACATTCGGAGTTCAGTCAGAATCCTACCAGTTTTGGCAGGTTACTTACTATGTCTTAATTAATATTGACAGATTTGCTAATAAAATTAATATATAGAACCAGAAAACTTGGAAATTGATGTTTAACTTGCATAATAACACTATCTTTCTGGCATTTTTCTGAGCACTATAACATTCCTTAAATATTTTTAGTCCTTTTTTAGGCTCATCCTTCATTAATTCCTCTAAAATCCTAATTAGAATTAGAATATATTTTGACATTATAACCTCACTTTTAACTTCTTGCTTAACAATCCCTTCTTCGTTAACCCACCAGAACTAGATCCATAACCTAATGATTTCTGTTTCAGTGCTTCAATTTAAATGTTATTAATGGCGCTATCTTTCTGGCAAATATTTTTAATACCAACCTCAACGAAAATAAATTTACCATTTAAATCAGATTTGCCAACATAAAGTAGTCATTTTGACATTTAAATTTTAAATTTTTTAAATTATTTCCTCTATTTTGCCCATTTACCAATATTTGCCAGATTTTAAAAGTGAGGTTGAGTGGAATTAATCATTTTGGATTGTTGTAAATTTTTTTGATTTGATGATTTTTAGCAGTAAGTCCTCTGCGAGCAATATCTGGTGTTTTGCAAGCTGTATCTAGTCTTCCATTAGCAATTTCTATCCTCATGTGAGCAATATTTAATTTTTGGTCATTAGCAACTACATGATCCTCTACAAGCAACATCTAGTCATCTGCAAGCAGTATCTAATCTTCTGCAAACAATGTCTAGTCTTCTGCAACCAATATCTAGTCTTCTGATAGCAGTATTTAGTCTTTTGCAACCAGTATCTAGTCTTCTGCAAGCAATATTTAGCCTAGATTTATCTCTTACTTTGATTTTTTAACTTTTTCCTTTCCATAGAGTTAAAAAAAAGTTGTTCGATCGATTTTTTCAATCCATCCTTCATTGGTTCCCCTAAACTTTAAAATCCTAATTATAATTAGAATATCAAGTTGCATTGAATCGTTGTATTAAGTTTTTATTTCGCCATTCTAACCTCAACGAAAATAAATTTATCCTTTAGATCAGATTTGCCAACTTAAAGTAGTCATTTTGACATTTCAATTTTAAATATTTCTTCTATTTTGCCCATTTATCAATCTTTGGCAGATTTGACAAGTGAGGTTGAGTGGAACTAATCATTTTGGGTTGTTGCAAATTTTTTTGATTTGATGATTATCAGCAGTAAGCCTTCTGCGAGCAATATCTAGTCATCTGCAAGCAGTATCTAATCTTCTGGAAGCAATATCTAGTCTTCTGCAAAGAATATCTAGTCTTCTGCAACCAATATCTAGCCTTCTGATAGCAGTATTTAGTCTTTTGCAACCAGTATTAATCTTCTGCAACTTTTTATTTCGCAATTCTAAGCTCACTATTAACTTCTTGTTTATGCAAGCAAACATTCTTTTAAAGTAATCTTCTTTAATTTTGATTTAAACGAAATTTGAACACAATTTCCTCTATTTATCTCTTACTTTGATTTGTCAACTCTTTCTTTTTTCCATAGAGTTAAAAAAAAACGTCGTTCGATCGGAATTCGGCCTTAAATAAATATGTGTATACACACACACACACACTAACCAACATACATTTATATACCCATACATCGAGCCCCACCTCGTCGACGACGACGTCGACTTGGGTTTTACGGTTCGGGCGTGTGTGCGTGTACGTGTGGCGCCTGTACGAGTAAACATTTATTGCTCGGTTGGCGCCGGTCGGCCTCTCTATTTATTTTGGTTGCCTTAACGTACTCCTCTTCTCTCCTTCGGAGTCCTTCGCGTTGCAAGTAATACGACGTAAAACGTTTTTCCCCGCCGAGTTACTAGTTATTAAGATATTTTAACTCTTGGAAAGTCTCGCAGTCGAATTAACCGCGAGGACGCACGAAAAATTTTAACTTAGATCGCGTCGGGCGCCGAAAATTACGGCGACGCCGCCGAGGCGAGGCGAGGCGAGGCTGAGAAAACCTCGATTT